CCCTCGGCCGGGCTGATCCTTGGAGCCCACTCCTGCCAGACTTGGCTGTTGCTGCTGCTGGCCCTGGTTTGCCCAGGGGACTTCTGCTGGAACTCACAAGGCAGTGACCCGTTTTATTCTGTCTTTGGATACTTATTCACCCAAGATCAGGAAGAATAAACACAAAAGAAGCAGGTGTCACGTGCTCAGGGACACATGCTCAGGGACACATGCTATAATTACTTAGGGTCCAGGTGCCTTTGATTCTTTACCTTGTATCATACAATAGCTTGTCCGAGTTTACTGCTAGGTTCAGCTTTGGAACAAAAGGTGCTCCTGGAGTTATTTAGTTATGAAGTACCTTCTGCAGTTCTCACAGTGATCAACAGGTGGTTGAGCTGCAGAACCAGTAGGTGAGGGGAATCCCCTGAGGCAGATGTTTTGTGGCGTACTAGGGCAGAAGGGACAAATACTTCACTTTGCCAGGGGGCCCTAACGTTCCCAAGTATAGCCTGAACCAGATTGAAATGTAATTGGGAAATATTTAACAAAAGAAATACAGTAAAACATAAATAGTGTTAATGATGGCCACTGTTTCTATTTGAGTTTCATATGGTTACTCCAGGGAATTTAATTCATTATTATTACTCTCATCCAGTGACTTAAGGGATTATTGGTAGGTTTCAATTTGTGTTCTGTGTAGCTGTTCCTGCTAGAAAATAAGTATTGAATATTTGCCTTACCTGGTTGAATACTTTTGACAGCCACGCCCCATCCCAATTTTTCCAGTCTGCTCCGCAGCTAAATGGGGATTGGAATTAGAGCACCTAGTATCCTGGCCTTTGTGTTATCCCCTGAGCACTCCTTGAGTGTTCCTCTGTCAGAGTCTTGGTTAACAGTATTTCCTTATCAAGAATGAGGTCTCCCTTTCTCTTCAGTCCTATTCCTAATTTTTCCAGGCCAGTTTATGTCATTTTTTCAGGATTCTCCCCCCACCCCCCAGCCCAAGGTAGCCCATCCCTCCATTATAAGGTTTTCAGTAGAATCTTAGATTTGTAGAATGGCTGGAGATCATCTCTCTCTCTCTCTCTCTCTCTCTCTCTCTCTCTCTCTCTCTCTCCTCTCTCTCTCCTCTCCTCTCTCTCTCCTCTCCTCCCTCTCTCCCTCCTCCTCTCTCCTCCCTCCTCCTCTCTCCCTCTCTCTCTCCCTCTCTCCCTCCCTCCCCCAGGCTCTGGAAAGTACCATAACTTAAGGTGACCCAGGAAGTTAGGAACAGAGTCAGGATCCAAATCTCTTTGTTCTTACTCCGCTGCTATGTAGCTTCTCTTATTGTTTTATCTTATCTTATCTTTATGGCACTTCTGGCCAGGGTTCTGGACTTCCTTGCATTGTTACTATATTGTCCATGCATTGTTAGTCCGGGGAGGGGAGGAACTGTATTTGAATGAGGAACTGAACATCTACTTTCTTTCTTGAATTCAATGAATCATAATTTGGCTTTCTGGCTGTAGTATTTATTGTCTCATTGAATGTAAAGACTTATTGGACCTGTTCATTTTCCATACAGCTTTGTGGGTGGGTGTTTTTCTGGTTGCCTGCTCTGTTGGGGTCATTGCTTAGGCCCCATGAGAAGTATAACCAGACCTTCCTGCCTCCAAGAAATAGGGAACCCTGAAAAGATTCTCTGTAGAAGAGGTAGTTTTTAGCTAGCGTGTAAGACTCCAAATCTGTACCTGTACCTTCCTCTTCTAACAGTTGTTTTAGCTGCTGCTGCTGTAAAGAGGAAACAAAACAAAACAGAAAGCCCCAGCCCACTCCTGGTTGCCATGGATCTCACCCAGCAGTGTTTTAATTTTAGTGCTGACATTTTTATGTCAGAATCAGAAATATTGGCTGTGCTCCTAGTCAGCTCCCTGTTCGTGCTCTTGCTTAAGGGGGCAGGACTACAGGGTCCCCCCCCCCCCTTCTAGCTGTTGTTGCTGGTGGTAAAGTCTCCTCTGATGATTTTCAGGTTAGAGCTTCCTCTATAGCATATAGGCAGTAGGCCCACTTTGAAGTCATCTAGGCCGGTGCTTTGGACGTGGAATGGGTGTTGGATCCATGCTTTCATTGGTATGAGGGGCTTCTGGGAAGGAGACTCCTTTGGCCAGTGCAGGTCTGAACCTCCTTTGCAACTCAACTCCCAGAAGAGGCCCTGAAAAGCTGTGTGACTTGCCCAGAGGTGGGACCTGTATCTCCAGGCTTTTCTGACTCCTGAAGCTAGTTTCCTGTTCTTTATCTCTAGTTGCCCAGAGCATAAAATGGTGCTTTAAAATGTTTGTTTATTGAATTGGTGTGGGGAAACTGCATTGGACTTGGAGTTAGGAGATTTGAATTCTTGCATTTCCTAATTGTGCCACTTTTGGCAAAGGACAGAATCTGTTTGCTTATCCATAAGAAGGGCTGCCAGATAATAATACTTACTCTTGCATTTGTGAAGAAAGTGCTTTGTAAGCCTTAAAACATTGTAGAAATATTGAATGAAACAATTGGAAAGTAAGTGATATAAAAAGTATTCATTGTGTGGTCTAGACGGTACGAGACATGAAGGTTCAGAGAGGAGAGGGGATGGATGAGTGTGGGTTGGAGTCATCAGGCAGTGTTTCACAGGCTCACTTGCTTTCGGAAAGATAATTTTAGTTGGAATCCATCCATTCTTCTTTGTCTAAAAACGTGCCTTGACTGAGCAGTTACCAAACCTTTAGAGAGGAGGGAAAAGAGTAGCACATACATGGAATCAAACTTGGGGTGTGTTTATTGGAGTAAATGTTACAGGGCCATATATTGGGAACGAAAAGGAATTTAAATAGTCACTTGGGCTACCTCCTTGGTTTAATTTTATTTTAAAAATTCCTTTTCTCAATGTCCTTTTTCCTTACCTTAGTCATTTATACCATCTTCCCCTGCCCCCTTGCCCATGAATTCTTTCCTGTATGTAACAAGGAAAAACAATTGAGCAAAAGCAGTGGTGCAATGGCCCCTTCTGACAACGGACACAGGCGTCCAGCCTCCACGTTTCCCAGCTCAGTGCCAAAAGGGAGGCATTTCTCCTTGTCTGGTCTGTGGACCAGTGCTGGCTGTTCAGTTATTCAGACTTCTCTTTACATTGTTGTCATCATTTTGTATGTTGTGTGTTTTGGTCCTGCTTTGTTTATACGTCAGTTCACACGAGTCTACAACTTGCACTACACGCCGGTACAACACGTGATGTTGACTAAAGCATCCTGTTTCATTCACTCTTGGGCCCTAGCTGGTCCAGCCATTCTCCTCTTTGTTTCTAGTTCTTGGCTGTCACCAAATGTGCTGCTGTTCATGTTCTGGTATATAGTAGATCTTTTCTTCTGACTTTGACTTCTGTGGGGTATATGCCAGTAGTGTACCCAAGATTTTTGTACTCGGTTTTATAACCAAAGTTATGTGACTTGTCCAGGGTCAAGTAACTGAACAGAAGTGGGGTGTGAGTTCACCTTATTTGATTCCAAATTAAGCATTCCTTATAGCACTATGGGCAGGTCTGCATAGCCTACTCAGTGAAGCTCCAGTAGCATCCACGGCTTTCTTGTAGCCCAAGGAATTGGGCCCCCAGCGTGTCCAAAGCTTACTTTTAGTAAGCCGGTGTGGTGGCAGTTGTCGGGTCATATATAGGGAAGTTGGGGTGGAGGAGAAACTGCAAGGTCTGGGTGACGATGCTGAGTAGGGTCAGGATGAGGCGGGGGGGAGCGCTGTGTGGGCATGCCTGGGTGGGGTATCGTGGAAGGCTGATTAGAGCAATCCAAGTATAACCCTTTGGAGAAACAGGCAGAGATGATGATCATTCCAGCTTTGTGACTGGGAAGGAAGCTAACCAAATGAAATATTTAGCAGGAAATTGCCAGGCTATGATGATTTTGCCCAAGGTATGGTAAGCAGTGATTTCCAAGTGGGAATTTTGGAATTCTAGGGATGAGATCGGGCTTCCACCCTGCTGACCATCCATTGAGTGGTTTTGGCCAGATCATAGGATCAGAGTGTTGGAGCCGGAAGGGACCCTGGAGATGATCTATCTAAGTGCCTCATCTTACCAATGAGGAAACTGAAGCCTCGGGAGGTAAAGTGACTTGTGCCTAAGGTCACCCAGGGAGTACACATTCAAGGCAGGATTTGAACACGGGTCCTTTGACTCCAGAGCCAGTGCCTTGTCTGTTCTTTCCTCCCCGATACTTTTTAGCAGAGGTTGGTGAGAGATCTTCATTTCCCCAACCTTCAGGGCTTGCCAACTTTAAACTCTCCCATCAAGAAGTGACTTGCTTCTCCCTTCTTTGAAAGGGAAGCTGCCCCAAGGGGCCTGGGGTTAAGGAAGAGAGCCAAGAATTTTGAGCAGCCATCCCCATTGGTGTTAAAGTAGAGGCTTTGACCTGCTGTGGGTGGAATCTCAGAGGGGCTGAACTATCACTGACTTGCTTCCAGTTTTGAAAGTCAGGGCTGCCTGAGCTTGGGGTTGCTGATCTCTAAGGGGATGATGCCATTGCTTCAGGTTATTTCAGGACTAATTGAGTTGTACTTTGTCATGCTTGGGTAAAATGTTGGCATGCCCTTGCAGCTTTAGATCTATGACCCCAGACTCAGACTTTGAAATATGCCTTTGCCATCAGGCCATGGGTATACATTGCAGCACTCCTGGAAGGCTGAGGATGGAGGCTCTCCCTCAGTTAGGGGAAACTGTCCCTTTTCAGTCTGCACTGCTCCCTCCTGTGGGCAGAAAAGGAACAGCAGCCATCAGTCTGAGGCCTCTCAGTCTGTCCTTTTTTACCAGCTTTGTTAAACTGGGGAGGCACTCACCTGTTGTTAATATTTCCTTTTCCTCCTTCTAGGAATGGAGTTACCGCTGTTTTTTCTGTTTTGCTTTTGGCACCTGGAGCTTCCTGACGTTCTGTGTGCCTGGAGCTTATTTCTAATGTCTAAGCCCTATCTGAGATTTTACTTGTGCTTTGTTCTGCCCACAGGATCATGCGGCCAGATGACGCCAACATTGCAGGCAACGTCCATGGAGGGACGATTCTGAAAATGATTGAAGAGGCTGGGGCTATTATCAGTACCCGACACTGTAACAGCCAGAAAGGAGTAAGTATTTGGTGGGTCACCTACCTCTAGGCACTGCCAGGTACCCGTGGAAAAGCCTGAGCCCTCAGGTACATTACTGTCATCCCCAATCAGAAAACAAGTTTCAATGTAATGTCTCTGGCACTGGCCTTTTCCTTTTTTCCTAGCCTCTTGGGGTCTTCCGCAAGCCCTGTCCACTGTTAGGAGGCCTTTGGCAGCTTCCTTTGAAGCAGGAGGCACTTGGCCTCAGTGAAACTGTGGTGGGGAAGAAGCTCTGTTCTTAGAAGAAAATGGAAGAGAAATCAAAAGAATAGTGAATGAAGTTCATTATCCAAGTCACTTTGGAGCAGGGAATTCTTATCCTGGGGTGTCTGAACTTGTCTTAAAAAAACCCTCACAGTATTTCAATATAATTGGTTTCCTTTTCAATCTTCTGTTTTTGATTTTATGTATTTAAAAAGAAGTATTCTGAGAAGGGGCCCATAAGCTGTCAAAGGGGCTCATGACACAGCAACATCAAAAAGGTTCTGAACCCCTCTTTTTGAGTACCTGGAGCCATGTTTGCCATTACTGTTAATAAGGAGAGCTATGTGACTCTTGGATGCTCTGGGGATTCTAGTTGTGTGTGTGTGTGTATGCAGAAAATATATACACATATAAAATATATATACAGACAGTTCTTACTTCACTTAAATTCTCATTAACAAATTTGACTTTATATAAAAAATCCTGAAAGAAATATGCATTCCCAAAAAATTACAAAAACTGCTTATGCAAAGCAAACGTTGTATGATAAGACGAGTAAATGGTGGGGGGAAGCTGAGAAGCATCTCTAAGTCAGTTCCTTTGTGTCTGCAGACAGTGAGTTATGCTATGTTAAATAGTGATCCTCATATTTTCACCATGGCTGGCAGCAGACGTGTTCTTGAGGGGAAAAGTGAACCATTTTGTAAGCATAAGTGAATAGATAAAAAGAAGTAGAAAATATGAAAGAGGCAAAACTTGTCATCGATAACACATGAACTTAGTCTTCTAACTATGGACACCATAGTGAAGAATGCTGCCCAGGTAGGGGAGCATGGAAAAGGCAGCGTTTGCATGAAGTCGACTTATCTGTTGAAACAAACAGAAGGTGCTATTCTACAGATGAGAAACTATTGACTATTTGGATAGAAGCCCAAACTTAGAAGAATATTCCTTTAAACTTGATGACAATTCAAGCCAAATCTCAAAGCCTCTTTGAAGATTTAAAGTTTAAGTACCTTGAAGGAACACAGGCATTTATAGCAAGCGGTTTTTGGTTTGCATGATTTCAAAGTCATGCAGGATTTCATAATGTGCAAGTGTTAGGAGAGGCTGTTTAGTGCAGATATTGAAGCAGCGAAGTTCCCAGAGTTGCTGCAAAAAATAATAGATGAAGGTCCCTACTTGCTTGAACAAATCTTTAATGTAGATGAAACCAGCCTATTTTATCAAAGAGTGCCATCTCATCCACGTCTTGGTGGAGGAGCAAAGTGTGCCTGGGCGTAAGGCTTCTGAAGAAAGAGTTCCTCTTCTGCTTGGAGGGAATGCATCTGGGACTTGAAAATTAAAACCTGTTCTCATGCACCACTCAGAAAATCCTAGAGCATTGAGGGGAATCAGCCAGGCACCCCCTACCTGGGCATTATTTCGCTAACCCTAAGGCATGACTGACCCTGTTTGAACAATGGTTTATTCACTGCTTCTTCCAAAAATGGAGAAGTTTAGTAATGATAATCGTATTCCTTTCAAGATTCTACTTATTTTAGATAATGTCCCAGATCACTCCCCCTGCCCTCAATCTGGAAAATTTTAATGAAAAGCTAAAAGTAGGGACAGCTAGGTGGCTCAGTGGATAGAGCACCAGCCCTGGATTCAGGAGGTCCTGAGTTCAAATCCGGCCTCAGACACATAACACTTACTAGCTGTGTGACCTTGGGGCAAGTCACTTAACCCCATTGCCTAGTCTAAAAAAAAAAAAAAGAAAAGCTAAAAGTGGTTACCCTAACACTACCTCATTAGTATAACCTATCGATCAGGGAGTGATTGTGAATTTGAAGGTATTATTAATGCACTACATTTGCCTAGGCAATTGCAGCTTTGGATGCAGATAAGGACTTGACCTTGAGAGATTTCTGGAAGTCCTATAATATTTAGCATGCAATCTGAAATATTGTTAATATAACAGAAACATGTATGAAAAGTTTGGAAAAAAGTGTGCTTATAGATTAGACAAAGATGAAACAGTTGAAGTGAGTAACAAGATTATAAAATGAGCATAAGAATTGGAGCTAGAAGTGGATGAGGATGATGTGGAGTTGATTGAATCTCCTGGAGAAGAGCTGTTGCCTGAGGATCTGATTGGGCTGCTAGCGGAAAGATGCCAAAGAAGAAGGGGAACCTTGGAATCCGAGGTCAAACCAAAAAGGCTCACAACAAAACAGTTGGCAGAAGCATTTCATCATTTGAGTAAATTTTTACTTGTATTGAAAAGATGGATCCAAATACTTCAAGATTTTTAAGTTCAAAGACTAGTTGAGGGTAATATTGTTTGCTATCATTGTCGTGCATGGGCAGCTAGGTGTCGAAGTAGATAGTGCTGGGCCTGGAGTGAGGAAGACTCATCACTTAACTAGCTGTGTGACCCTGGACAAGTCACCTAACTCTGTTTGCCTCAGTTTCCTCATCTGTAAAATGAGCTAGAGAAGGAAATGGCAAACCGCTCTAGTATCTTTGCTCAGAAAACCCCAGTGGGGTCATGAAGAGTTGGTCATGATTAAAATGGCTGAACAACTCCTCACATATATGGGATAAAAAAAAAAGGAGACCCACTCTCTTGATAGCTTCAGAACAAAAGTTGCATAGTCAACCACTAGTGTGAAGGCAGGGTGCAGTGGTTGGGGAAGGGGCTGTCTACTGCACACCTATGTTAACTTTACTGTACAGTACTGTGCATGCTTTATCATTAACTTTACCTTTCATTTCCTAATTCTTTTTATTATCATGGTACAGTGTTTGATATGTCTACATTTTAGTATATTTTATGACTTGCATAAAGGTATTATTTTGTGTATGCCTTTGTTATATAGGCTGAGTGAAGTTGATGGTTAAGGGCAGATTTGCATTATGTACAACTCGTTTTATATAGAGGTCTGCAAAACTGTCCACTTAGGTAAAGTGAGAACTGTCTACATACAGAAAGCCAAAATCTGCACTCTTGAGGAGCTACAAACTGCCTGTGAAAGAGCCCCCTGAAGATGGTGAATGTCAGCCGGAAGGACCCTTCCTTAGGCTAAATAGGTGCCATGGAGTGAGGTGTGGCCTTTGAGCCTTAGGACTGTGGGGCTTGTTGCCAGAATCAGAGAGAGTGTAGATTGCCTCCTCTCCTGGCTCACCTGCAACTGTTCTCTTGGACTTATTGGATTGGAATCCAGTACTTGTGTGTTGGAAAACTTTAGCTGGACTGCCTTGGTGTTGAAAGCATTGTCTTCTGGGGAGAACAGAGAGTGTCATTTAAGGCAACCACAGCCAGAAGTTTACCAGTCAGTTCATCTCAACAAACATGTGTTAAGTGCCTGCTGTGTGCAAGGCACTAGGTTTAGTGCTAGGGATACAGAGATAATTAAAGCAGTCTTAGTCCTCAAAGAATTTATATTCCCAGACATGATAAGAATTTCACAGTGTGATCACAAACAAGAAACTACAAGGTCTATGCCAAATAACATAAAAGAATTTCAAGAGGTATGGGGCACTAATGCCCTTGTGTAGGGAGAGGTGCTAGAGGTGTGTTTTGAAGGAAACTAGGGATTCAAAGAGGCAGAAGTGAGGAGGGCCGCATCCCAGCTGTGGAGGCCCTGTTCAGACACACAGGAGAGCAGCCCTCATGGATGAGGGTCAGCGAGGATACTAGTTTGACAGGAACAAAGAGTATATGAAGGACTTTAATTGGAAATAAGACTGGAAAGGTTGGGGCAGCCAGGCTGAAGGATTTGCTATTTTATGCTGGCAATAGGGAGCCACTGAATGTGTTTAAGTGGGGAGCACAGAGTCGGCTCGGTATTGTAGGAATGTCAGTTTGGCAGTGCTGTAGTGGATGGATTGGAGAGGGGACAGGAATGGGAGCAGGAAAAGTCGGTTGGGTCAGAAGACAAAAGAGGGAGCATGAGAAGTCAGGAAAGTAGAATGGCCAAGACTTGAAAGCTAATCTGCCTTAACGGGTGAGGAACAGGGAAAGGTCAAGGGTGACCCTAAAGTTGTACCCGTGATTTGAGAGGATGGTGCAAGCCGTGCAGTGTACTTCCCAAGCACAGCCTGTGACCTGCCGGTGAGTAGCCCCCTTCCCTCTGATAGCCCCCAGACCCCACTTCTTGTTAGCTGGGTTTCCTCTGCTTTGAGGTGACTCCTCTTCTAGGAGAGGTCGGCTTGAGGAGAGTGCCCCACCTCCTGCCCCTGTGGCTCTGCTCCAGAAACAGCTTTCTTGAACCTTTCTTTGGGCTTTAGACATCTTGGTCTATGTGCCCCTACTGCTTCCCATCACTGGCCAGAGCTCTAGTGACCTCATTCTCTGCTTCCTTGGATTAGTGTTGTCTCAGGGCCATGTGATTTCTTCCTCTGAAGTTTAGCTTAGAGGAAACAAGAATTCTTAAACAATTCTTTACTATAGTAATTAAATTAGGCAACTTGTGTATAAAAAAAATCTAATAAGTGCTAACCCATGTACTTACTCCAAATGCTGGCTTTTGGATCTGGAAAAGACTCACCTCTTTCATTAAAAAAAAAACCCCAAAACTTTTAATTTATTTTATTTTTTCAACTAAGATGCATTTGTTTTCTTTCCCTTCATTCTTCCCCTTTCCCAAGAAAAGGAAACCCAAACCCTTGTAACAAATATGTATAACCAGGGAAACCAAATTCCCAATTAGACATGCCCAAAAAAGTCCTAGCCTGCATCTTTAATCCATCACCTTTTTATCCTGAGGTGGATATTACGCTTCCTCATC